GGTGCGGCACAGCTTCAGAGCAGCTGGGAATTAAGGCTACCCCTCTTCTGGGGTCAGGGGAGCAGGCAGTAGCTTGTCAGCAGCTTGCTCTGTCTTACATCTCTCCCATTAGCTTGGTAGCACACATCTTGAGGACTGAGGCTGAAGGAGTTAACAAATCCACCTATCTCCACCCCTTAAAGAGAGAGCAGCGCGGCACAGGGAGTGGCTCTTTCTAGCAGCCCATCCCTTAAAACCTCCCGGCACCAGTTATCTGCCACATGTTCAACAAACAACCCTACCCCCCAAAATATTCATTAATGCAGATTCACAGTTAAAATGGCTCCAGATTAAAGCCGAGTCAGACATAATTGAGAGGGTGCTAAGCTGGATGACTATCAAAAGACATTTGATTAGGGGGCCTGCCAAAGCACAGTTCTAAAACCACAATTTCCATGCACAGTGTAATGGATATTATGGATAATTACCCAGAGTGCACTACTCAGCCACACAGCTGCCTACAATTACGTCCCCAACAGCTTCCTCCTCCACTTCACCCTTCAAGCTCCCCATGACGACTTCTTCCAGCTTTTTTCCAAGAGGTGGTATCTTCCTGACACTAACAAGAACAGGGCCCTCACAGTTAGACAAGGAGTAGAGGGGGAAGGCTCAACAGATGTTGTCTGGCCTGAGGCTGAAGTACCCGGGTGGAACCCAGCTGCTCCACCATGAGAGAATGGACACTTGAGGTTTGTGGAATGCTGGGGGACTTCAAGGTGGGATGGAAAGAAGCCCTTTCTGAAGAAACCAAGCTGCCCACTCAACTGCGGGAGACTCAAGGCTGCCACAGTCCTCTCACATGACCTGGGTGCTTGGCATTTATGAGCATTCTGGATTAATATTAGTTTCTTTATTAAGAAGGCAGGGGCCCTCTGCCATCTGTTCATCATTTTCTTTACCACTGGTAGGAGTGCAGAAGATTCAATAATAGCTTTGCAAAGGGTCATAACCAGGTTTACCTGCAGCTGGACAGCCTGTGCTTAGGCCCGAGGCAGTGGCAATAAAGTAATAAAAGCTTCTGTTTGTGAAATGAGATAAATCAATAAGGGCTGCCTGCATGCCAGACCTACTTTTGAAAAGCTTCAGTGAGTCTAGGCGACATGCTTTCCTTTTCTCACACTTCACAAAAACCAGGCCACGGTATGAGGAAAGCAGGGAAGAAAAGAATGGGGCTACGTGGGGCGCACAGCTCTCCAGGAGCGGGAAGCCGAAAATGTGGCTCCATTTCTACATCACTTAGCCAGAAAGAAAGGCTTAGAAAAACACAGCAACAGCAAACTCTGGCTTTGAAGGTAGACTGAGCCTAAGAGAAGCTATGTGCATTCTAGATGGTGATGCATGCCCGTTTCTGTGAATGAACACAAGACAGGGAATATACGAGCATATCTGCTTTTGGAACTGCCTTTAATAAAGCCTGTGCCTTATTGTCCCACCAATCAGGATTCTTTTACGTTTCTGATCCATACTTACTTTTCCTTTTCCCATTTTAACTTTCAGACCATTTCCTTCTGAACTGAGTGCCAGGTTATTATCTCCTGCTATTAACCTCCATGCCAACGTAATCCCCTTGGTGTGCTAAAGGGAGCCCTGCAGTTAATTGAACATCTAAAACTGAAGTTCTTGCTCAAATGCCTTCTAAGAGTGCTATTCCCATTTTAATTATACCCAACCCAAAGATACCTTTTGCTTTGCTGGTTTAATACGTATGTCTAAGGCCATGCTACCCAAAGAAGCTTATGTCAGTTTTGGGGGGGAGTTATTTGTTTTCAATTTAAAATCTTTCTGGATTCTAAATCAAACAGAAATTAAAAATGAGCCCCTTCAGAATATGCTAAGCTGAGAGCCTGATTTAATTTACTGTGTTATGTGATATTCAGGAAAGAGATTCTATGGTGTGTCTTCTCACACCATAGAATCAGAACCATAGAAAAGATACTGGTTTTGTCCACAGGCCTATCAAGTTTGGGGCAAAAAAAAAAAAAAGTAATAATATATATTTTTTATTATCAAAATAATGGAGGTTTATATTATCTCTCAAATATGTTAATGCAATGCCACAGAACACACTAAAAAAGAATCTAAGCTCATAGAAGTTACCCATCTCTGATAATTCTGTCTAGGTTAGAGCCATTTGAAATACACAGAGGGGTGGCTGGGGCCTGTAATATATAAGCAAAATGTTATATAGTATTTTCGTGTGGCCCAGATATAGGTGTGTGCAAGGGCTAAAACCAAAACAAGTCTGTACTATTGAAATAACATCTGAAAGACTTTCAGGAGGGATAGAATAGCCTATTTGAATGAAGTTCTTGTGTTTGCACTCCCCAGATTTTGTGGGAGTGTTAAAAACACTTTTTATGTGTGTTACAGTGAGAACTCTTGTCTGTCCATGGATCATCAACTGTTCTATTAGGAGGAAGGGTATTGGTAAGCCAACTAGCCAAGCCAGAATGTGAATGATAAGAAAGAGGAGACTTAACACAATAAAAAGCCTCAATGGAAATCTAAACAATCATCATAAATAAAAAATCAAAAATTGTCTGGGTCCAGCATCCAGAGCTTACCTCCTCCGGTTCTATCAGCTTGAACTCCATGCCTCGGCCTGTCCAGGCGATGAAATGGGCATTGGCCGGGTCGTCAAGAAGGGTGACCAGGAACTGCCACAGCTGAAGTGAACCTCGCCTCTGGTAAGGGGGGCCCTCCCGATACATGGTGGGTTCCTGTTTGACTTTGCCTATTTGGGACAAGGATATGTACACAATACTTGTTCATTTGGTCTAAAAGGAGTTGTTAATGGTGATTTGAACATTTAGCTTGGGAGGACTGACGGACATCTCTAACCCTCTAGCTTAGCAACAGACCTTGGATGGGGCTACTGACCTTCCAGTCTCTCAGGCACAACGCAAGTGTCATCAAAGTACAACCGGGGATCTTTTTCATATGAAAAACCTGAAAGAGAATTTCAAAAGAGACTACATTGCTTAACAAATTCTATCTGTGTTGTACTAAATCTGTGGATTTTAGGACTAAAAGGGGATTCTTTCGTTTCGGGTCCTAAGCCCGACTGCTGTATGTATGCCAGACGGAATTTTCAGGGACTTCAAGAGGACTTAGGCATTCGAGTTCTGATGTAATCACCTGAGCCTTGGTCAGAGCAGCATCAATTCCAGCTATTTGAGCTAAGTCTATAAGGAAACGCTGAGTCACCAGTGAGTTCCTTCACATCTCGTTTATGAGGCCTGCATCGATCAGTGTTGCTGTGACTAAGCCTTTCTTTCCATCGGAAAAGACAGCTTGTCTATTTTGGTTGGCCTGGCTGGATTTGGTTTATCTGTACTTAGTCCTGCCATTTTCCTTTTCACTAATATTAATTTCAATCTTCCCTACAAACCTGTAGGAAAGATTATAAAAGTGCTTGGAGGGTAAAGAACGTTAGAGGATTTGGAAGATAAGCTTAAAAGTGAGTTGGAGGTAATATTACCAGACACTGAACAGACTCTGAAAAGACTTTGTAGTAACAAAACTTACTCATTGTGTGGAGGATAAAACAGAAGCCAAGACAGGGGTAGGAAGGAATGGTAAAGTGAAAAGTAAAAGGAGTCAAGGAGAAGGGAGGATGGCCTGATATTCTTATCCACAAACCTTTAAGGCAGCAGTTCTCAACCTGTGGGTCATGACATTAGGAAGGTTGAGAACCATGTTACCAGGCACCCAGACAAAACCAGCAGTTCACATCAGAGCCAGTTAACAAGACGGGCTCAAGGGGATCACATCCTATAGTACAAGGACTCTAGGTGTCCTTGGTTTCTTTACCAGAACACCTCTCAGGAGAATGCTCCAGGAGCTCCTGTCTGACCACGAGGGCTCCCTGGGCTCTGCCCCCAGGTTGTTTCACCTGGCTGTACAGTACGGTGTACGGGAGCGGGATGTGCAGTAGGGGCAGGCAGTGGAAAGCGCTCTGCAATGAATGCTTTCAGCCGAGTTTTTGTGGCTTGAAAAATCCATAAGTAAAGGCGCCAAGACATCCTCTTGCTATTCTTTATTTCTTCAGTCAGCCCAGATCAAGTAGCTTCTTGGCAGGACCAGCACCATTTTTAGAGGTCTGGGACTAGAGAAACACGGCCCGACTGAGACGGTTTTGAGGTTTGTATTATTCATTTTTGTTTTCTCATCCATAAGCATGATTTCTCTGTTGCTTAACTACGTCAAAGAAGTATATTTTATTGGCATTTATTATTTAATCCACCAAATATTTATGCCAGACATTGTACTAGAACAGTGGTTCTCAACCTTCCTAATGCCGCCACCCTTTAATCCAGTTCCTCATGTTGTGGTGACCCCCAACCATAAAATTATTTTTGTTGAGACTTCATAACTGTAATTTTGCTACTGTTATGAACTGTAAATGTAAATATTTGATATGCAGGATGTATTTTCATGGTTACAAAGGGGTCGCGACCCACAGGTTGAGAACTACTGTACTAGAAGGAGAATAACATAGTCTTAGTCCTCGTTCTCATGAAACTTACATCCCAACTGGGGGAGACAGATGACAAAGGAGAAAAAGACATAAGCAAGACATGGAGTAATATGGAAGTTAAAGAAGGCAGGTCCTGGGACAGACTGATGGGTCCTAATTAACTGTATGATCTTGAATAAATTCATCTCTCTGAGGTCCAGTGTGTTCAATGCAAAGCTGAACAAGATAATAATTCCTGCCTTAGAGGGCTGTTATGAGAATTTAATCAGTTTATATATAGTTTGTTTTCTTGATCTATTTCTCTGTCTTTATACCAGAGTGCTAAGAATAGTGCCTGGTACGTATATAATAAATGATAGTTTAAAAAAAAATAGTGGTACCACACTGTAATAAATACTATTAAGAAATTACTTGGATATAAGAAAGTGTCATATATGCATAATACGGAGAATTACTCAGCCAAAAAGAAAAATAGTGAGCTAGTATCTTTTGTGATAAACTGGATGGAACTGGAGATCATTCTTCTAAGTAAAACATCACAGGAATGGAGAAATAAACACATGTACTCAGTATACCAGGTTGGATCTGATCGATCAACACCTAAGTGTACATATGAAAGTAAATCTCAATAAAAATGAAGTTGAGAGAGGAGGAGAGTACATACTGTCTGGGCAGGGGGCATGCTCATAACCTTGACTGAATTTGTGCAAAAAACAAAGTATGTAAACAAAACCCATGTACTCCTTATATCCTGAAATAATAATAAGGTAACAACTCTATGTTATAAAGTCTTCATAGCAGAGGCTGGCAAATACAGTGTGCCAAATCTGGCCCACAGCCTGTTTTCTTTTTAAATAAAGTTTTATTGGTACAGAGTTAAAAACAAAGAGAAATTACTTGGATAATGTGAGAGCTTTATCTTATATCCTCTTTCAAGGATTCCAAGTTCCTTGAGTATAAGAGGATAAAAACTATCTCCTGGCTATCTTAGTGTCCTCATAATACCACACACATTAAATGCTAAATAAATATCTGAATGAACGAGCGATTCTATATTCCATTAAGAAAAACTGAAGGCTATAATGCTTACTCTTTTAAGTCAGGGAGTCAATGACTCCTGATAAATTTATTTTCCAACATGGTAGCAGGAAACACTTAACTTTTATAACAAATTGGTATACTTTATATTATCAGCAAGACTTTCATAATCCATTATGCTTCGTGCTTTTTGCCTTGGCTGCTAAGAAGCTGTATACAGGGTGGACATAAAGTCTGTGTGCAATTTAAAGTCACCACTATTTTAAATATCACATGAACTTTATGTCTACCCTGTATACTTCCCAACTTTCCGTATATATTTTGATATTCCAGTGATGTTTAATGGTCTTATTAAAAGTCATTATCAGTGAACTATTTCAAAGTTTACACACCTGTCAAACTTGTCAGGCTATATTTAGAGCTTTTTTTCCCTCTAAGGTAAGGATAACACATTCACAGTACATAGAAATAAACCCGTAAATCTAGATTAAATTCTCGGTTTGGTTTTTAAAACTAATCAGATGAAACCCTGCCTGTAAGAGGCATCATTTTAGTGTATTTTGTGGTTTCTAGTCATTGCCTCATATGCTCCTCTAAAACATCTGGAAGATGCTCCTGGTTTCAGTGAAATTTAAGTCAGTTAAATTTGCACCAGTTGTGGCCACAACCACCTCATCGCTCAAATGAAGATGGCAGGAAGGAAGAACCTGTTTGAGGGGCAAAGTGGAAATGAAAGATTTAAAACACTGCGAGAGGACTCCAGGTGAACGCTTGAGGCAGGATGGCTATCTCAGCAATTACAGATGCCAATCAGAAACACTTGTTTTTCTAACTGTTTCATAGGCATCTGTGGTCAGGCCTCTATAAAAATTGAAAAACTGTGTCAGAATAATTTAGAATAATTAAAAATGTTGGTCTCTTTGAAACTAACTTCTTTGATGTGTGTGGAGTCAGGGAAAGGAATGGGAAACAGTGGAGGGAGACACACACACAAACTCACCAGATAGTCTGTGTGTAGTGTATAGTAAGCAACCCGATGCCTTACTAAAAATATTTCCTTTAAGAGCATGCTCTTTCCTAAATGTTGTAATTATGTAAAATGTTTTCCTCCCTCTCCTCCCCTACTCCCTCCTAGTTTGCCTGCTGCAGACATCAACTGCTTCTGTAGAAACATTCAGGAACCTGGAAGAGAGCCCAATACAGCTGTGCCCATCACAGCCAGTGGTTCAGTAGACAGCCCTTTCTCTCCAAGGCTGGACACTCAGAATCTCACAAGGTGTCCAGGGAAAACAACACTTGGTCTCCCAGCTAAGCAAGTCATTGGGAAGCAGCTATCACACAGAAAACTTTTGTGAACTAATCACTTCTGAACGCTACCCAATGCTTCATGGATATCAGCTCTTTTTTGACCTTTATCTAAAATGCTAGAGGACCAGTGGTTGTCAACCTTGAAGCACACACTGAAAGTACCTGGAAAGCTTTAAAAACTACTAGAGCCTGGGTCCCATCCTCAAATTTCTTATTTCATTGCTCTGGATGAAGCCTAGATATCGAAAGTTTGAAAAGCTTCCTGGGTTCAAATGGTTCTAATGGGCAGCCCAAGTTGAGAATCACTACACTGTATAGTTCTTAAACTTGAAAGTGCATCAGAATCTCCTGCAGGGCTTGTTAAAAAACACAGATTGCTGGGCCCCACCCCGGAGAGATGTATATGACTGAAAACAAGACATACTTCCAGAGAATTTGTTCTAAGAAAAAAATCTTCTCTCTATCAACGTCCAAAAGGGAAGCTCTGAACCTACCATATCTCACCTCATACCTTTGCCCAGGAGGGTAACTTTAAACACTGAGTCTACCTCTCAAGCCTTTCCATGTCCCACAAACTCCATCTTAGTACCCAACAGGGCTCCTTTCTGTCAAAAGAGTCCAGTGATTGGCTATTGTCATCCATTCAGGCAGGAGCTATTCAACAAATACTTTTTGCAGCTTTGAAAGCTCAATTACTCTCCCCCACAAAAAGGCTCCTTCTTCCTTTTGATTCACATCTAATTACTTCTTTAAAGAAATCCTAAATTTTAAAAATCCATGACAATGCAGTAAAAACAAACAACAACAAAACATAGGCCCTCACAAAAGCTGGTAGCAGATGCCTTAAAAATGTCATACTCCTTTTATCTAGAAATTTCGGGAATTTAGCTTGGAGAATTAACCAAGGGAAGGTGAAAAGCTTAACTAGATGAATGTTCGTCTGGGTATGGTTTATTTGAGAATATTCTGGAAATACTTAATGTTTTCAGCAGCAGGAGGTCAGTTAAATGCTTACGCATGCAATATGTACTGTGTGGCCATTTGAGAGGAAATCAGAGAGGAATGGTTGATGCTACAGAGATCCCACTGGCTATAGAGTGTGGAAAGAGACAAAGGTATGGGCTGAGCCTACAGGGCTTGGCTCAGAATTCTGGCTCTACTCTTAATAATCTCTCTGAGCCTCAATGTCCTCATTATATCATGGGTCTATCCTATGGGACAGCTGTGAGGGTTAAACAATTTAGGTCAGTGCATGTAAAGAACTTAGTGTTTGAAACATAGCGATTGTTCAATACGAGTTAATCTCTATTGCTAAAAGAAAAAAACAGACTATAAAACAATGCGGCCTATATGATCTGTATAATTCTATGTTTATGTATGCACAGAAAAGACTGCAAGGGAATGATTATCTCCGGACAGTGAGATTTAATTTTCATCTTTTTGTCTGTCCATATTTTGTGTAACCAACATTTATTGCTATGGTAAGAACAAGCTACTAAAGTTTATATTTAAAACAGAACTAGCTCAAAAGAAAGTTCCTCCAGGAAACTGAGATTCTGGCTCCCTTCTGACCTCTTCTGTGAAGCCCCGTGCTCTCTAACACTTATGCATCTTATTTGTTCTAAATTACTTTCACTCCAATTAGTAGGTCAGTGCTAAGGAAGGCAAAGTCACAGGCTCAACCCTACCCACGGCTCCTGCTCCTAATTATAGTGAGATTATCTCAGAGATTTATTGAATTAGTTGGTCCCAAAGGGATTGAGCACAACATTTGAACAGACACAGCACATCCTTGACATAAAACCATCACCTTCGCATACAAATAAATGTCAGGTCATGTGATTCTAGGGTTGTGGGTAAATTGCTTTATGTCTGTTCTCATATTTCTCCTTTCAGGGATTTTTAATTTATCCAATTAGAAAACATTTCTTTTGTGTCCCTCTATAGTTCATTTTGTACATCACATATCTCAACAGTCTCATCAACTGCTCCAGCCCCACTCCCCATATCCCTCTATTTTTCCACTAGCTCTTTCAAAGTTAGCAAAGGTTACCTTCACTGTAAATTTCCCTACTGTGTTAAATGTGGCAACCATTTATCATGTAATAAAAATGACAATGAAGAGTTACCTAGCCAAACATCCAAACTAAGTAAAACCTAGAAACACATTTTAAAACTCCTAAGACAATCTCGGGCCCATATAAAAGTCCCCTTACTGGTATACAGTAGAACCTCCATAGTTGACCACCTCCTTATCTTGACTACTGTAAGCTGACCTAATTTTCACAGCCCATATGTGCACATGTACATTTCAGTAAGGTACATCTAGTTCTTTATGTTGACCACCTCCATATGTTGACCAGTGTGTTACAGTCTCTTTGGTGGTCAAGTTACAGAGGTTATGGTTTAGGCCAGTGGTGTTGTATAGCTATATAACCTCCATGTCTGGAAGTGCAGAAACCAGATGGGTACATCTTTTTCTTCATACTGTCCTATACATTTTGGGTTAGGATCATTGCTATGGAAAATGATGAAAGCCCTCACAGTGCTTAGGAGCATGCCTCAAACCCTGTGTGCAAAATAATCAAAAACTATGATCAATTAGCTGTCATCTATGATTTCAAATCTTAGCCTAGACACTGAGCAATTTTAAGCTTGAGTATCACTTTAAAAAAAAAAAAAGCAAGCTCTTTACCTTCGTGGCTGCTGGAGAAATAACCCCCTCTCATGTAGGATGACTGGCAGTTAGGCACTTCTAAAAGGGAAACACAGGGGGACACACTACCGTCAATAGTTTCTGCAGTAGAAGGACACCAATCAACTGCAGCTCTGTAGCCAAGCCCCTAACCTTCTCCTGCTCCAGGGTTATGTCCTTTTGGCCTTGTCTGGGGAAAGAGGTACCATCTCAACGGACAAGACGGGAAACACAATAACCCACCATCTGAAAGGAAGACAATTCTAACCAAGAGTTTGGGTAGGGAAGAAAATGATGCTTTACTTCTATAATTCACTCACTTTAGAAATTAGTTAATATCAAATCTGATGAGCAAGCCGTGAGGAAGAAAGGCTTTCACAAGGCCGGTCCTGACTCCTGGGTTTTAGGGTGGGAAGGAGGAAGAAGATCACTTTAGATCTTCTCCAGTTTGCTCCCCTTTACTGCTGGTGGTCACGTAAAAATTTTCTTCAAGAGGTGAGAGTATTTTTAGGCCAAAGGGATTAAGGGATTTGAAGTTATGAAGCCCAGACCAGAAGAACTGACAAGGATGGGGGACTGTGGTTTGGCAAGTACATTTTTGCTATGTTGAGACTGTTACACCAAAACCAAAACACAGTCAAGTGATCACTTCTCTTCAGGCATCACGTTATCAAGGTGCCATCAAGAGGAAAGATAGTGAATTGAGTTGTGCCCATGTGGTTTGAATCTCTACTCTGGGAACACCATTTAGATCAAAGAATTACCGATAAGGGAACGTGCTGAGTATCTTGCTTTAAGAGAGTAAGGTGGGGTGAAAACCCATTGGGACAGATTAAAATGTCAATCCCAAAGGAAAAAATGCATTTTTCTGAGGAGTAGGCATGGCCAGAACATCAAAGCCTTCAAAAAGAATGCCGGTGGAAATTTTTACAAGTTATCACTACCTGACACTTGGTAATTTTTCTGTCATAAAGCAACAGATGTCTCCCTTCTGCCTACCTCCCCAGCCTTTCCTATAACCAATGTCTGCCTGAATGGAGCAATCTATGTATTATCTCCGAGAAGGAGAGAAGGCCAAGAATAAATTCTTTATTCCATTCCATTTGCAAAAGCCAATCAAGTTCAAACTGCCCCAACCTTCCCCATGGTCTTTAAGAAAAACACACAGAGGAAAGGTTGAAAATCTATCAACTACCCTCAAATTCCTTTAGCCCCAATTGCAAAAAGAAAAGAAAAAAGGTGAAAAAGTTTAAGTCATTTCTGAAAGGGAAAGGGGAAATGAAGAGGAATAAACAGTTTCTGAGCGTACAAGCTCCAAAATTCCAATTCTCCTTTTCCCCCATGCTCTCATTTAATGGGAACAGAAAGGGGGAAGAAGAAGCTCCCCCAAGTACAACTCAAACTTCTTGATACGCCTATGTTTCTAGGCAAAAAGTATCCCATAAGAATACAGCAGGTGTCCTAACATGTTAAACCTCTCCCTGAGTATACCAAGAACCTTCCCAGATATAAGCATTGCAATAGAGTGAATCTTCACGCAGTGAATCCCATGAAGCAGTCAAGACAGCCTTTTCCATGGTATATCCAGTAAGCCACACAGCTATGAAATGGTGTTTCTCAGAACACCATTCGTTTCAAGAATAGAAAAACTCCTGTTCTTATATGGAAGCTTAATGGGTCTGTTGTACTAAAAAACAAAGCCACATATCTAGGGGCAGGACTAAAATACAGAAAGAAGGTTCCCTATGTCCATGAGGCTTGAGGTTAGCAGGTCTTAAAAAGGGGAGTACCCAAGAATGAACCCCAACAATCTGCAGTCTTTGAGGTTTACTTTGTATCACCACTTTCAAATGCCTATTGTACTTCCCAGCATTGGCACTGCTTTTCTGATCTGTTTTTGTATTCAGTTGTCCCTAAACATGTCTGCTTTACTAGCTCCTAAGTTCTTTGGGGGCCATTCTTATAAACTATTGCCCAAAGCCCTGCATATACAAGACATACACAGGACAGCAATTGTGAGAATTAAGAAATGAAAGGCGTGATTTTATGCTAACCTGAGTCAACGCAGTAATCCCGGGGCTCCTGCTTGATGCCCATTGGTGACTGGAACCCATGTGCAGGGGGGCCTGGCAGGCCTGGGAGCCCGTGGTCATAGAGTGGGTCATGGTATTCTTGTTTGAATCCCTGAGGGGGTGGGGGAGCTGCAGGGGCAATGGGTTCTGACATTTGCCGGTGGTAACTGGGGCGATTATCTCCAGGAACTCCTGGCTGAGGAGGGAAGGGGTGGCAGGGTTCAGACAGTTGTCTCTGAAATCTGTAAGGAGAAAGAAATTTTCTTGTTTACCTGAGACATGATAAATACTATGATTGAGCATTGGGGATTAGAAGTTCAGATTAATGAAATTATTTACAAAGTATTTATTAGTGCTTATTTCTGGGCATTTTAGCCCAATCCCAAAATCACACTGCATGTTTCCAAGCTCTTAAGTCAGGGAGTGAAAAGAGATAATCAAAGCAATGACATGGTATCCTCTGATCTTCCATGCATATTTATTTCATGCACAGTCTATCTGTACAGATGGGCCAGATTACACATCTGAATATTATATAAGAACATTCATTTGTAAATAGCACTAACATATACATGAATTTTTAAAGACCAAAAAGTACAAATTAACCAGTTAGAATATGGTGTAGAAAAAGAAAAAAAATCATACTCATAGTAGTGATATAAAACATAAAATTCCCAGGAATAATTAGGAATCATATAGCTCTTATAAATCTTAAAATTGTTTTCTGAAGAGTAGAAAGATCTAAATAAGAGAAATATTTATGACTTTGAAGCTGTTGATTCACTGAAAATTATTCCATAAAAGCAAATGCCTTTCCAACCAACTTGGCAAAATGATTCTAACCTTTACCAAAAATAGTAAATAATATTTGAAAGTAATGACATATTAGACATTGACAAATTATAAAACTATGGTAATACAGTAATATAAGGAATAAAATACTGGTAAATCTAAGGAGTTAAATGTAAAGTCAAAAACTGTCAACAGTATTCCAGAATTTACTACTTGCTAAGGTTAGCATTTCAAATTAGTAAGGAAAATACTTAGATCTCATATACCACATTCCAAAATAAATTTTTTTTTTTTTTTTTT